CAAGGCTTTGTGGTCAAACACACCAAAACTGATGTTCATTTTGTGGTTAATTTGCCTACGCGTTTTTGTAATACCACATACAATAAATAATAATTCATCCATGACGTTTTATTCGTAATGCGTAATATGAAGTTGTCCAAATGCCCAAATATGATCAGGCATCGCACCTATAAATATGTAAATATGTATACATGCTATAATATGAATATGATAAAATAAAATTACTTTTTTTTTTCATAATACTATTACATCATTTTTTTTAATTCAACATTTTTGTACTACAATGATATTGTACCTACTAGTGTAGTATTAAACCTCTAGGTTTTAGAATTTCAAACCATCAGTTTGATTAAATAAAAAGCTTACATGTTTAAAATAAAACGGTTTGATTATTATAAAATAATCTAAAAATAATAAATGTGCTTGAAAAGCATACTCACATCAATGGATCATCAAAATAAATTATTATTAACGACGGAATGATTATAAAAAGATTATTTTTAACGGAATAGAGTTGTGGTCAATAATTATGATGTTTCTTTCTTCTTCGTAGTTTTGCGTTTCTTTTAAAATTATTTGAACTTTTTTGAACTCATTTAGAATACAAAACCACCTAAGATTTCTGGATACTATTATTTATGGTATATTTGAACATACCAAATATTTTAATAACATATACTTATAACGCAGTACGGTTGGTTTTTTTTATATATTTTACTATATCAGCTCACGGTATCAACTTTTAATAAGATTTCATATTATTATAATTAGAAGTCGGTCGAAAAAAATCTAATCCAGAACCTGTAATGTTGACCAACGTGCGTGTTTTTAATAATTTCGTAATAATTACATATAGATTCGCTGTGCGTGAACGAGGTACATGCTAAACGGCCTAAACAAATGTAGTGTAATTATATGTCCGGCAGTTACTTAAGCAGATGAAACACTTTGGTGTTCGATGCATTTGCCTATCGTATGGTCTCACATGTCTAATATCTAGCGATTTAGACGTATTTAGCCTAACCTCTCTGCCGCACGTGCTATAACGGATCCGTCGATGAAGACACGATAAGGATTTTGAATACACGCTGGTCGTGTAATGGATCCTTTAGACTTTATCCATCCAGAAGTTATTAAAATCGGATTAAAAAAAAAAAAAAAAAAAAAAAAAACCAAAATAGAAAAGTCGACCAACGCGTTTTAAGTAGGAATCTAGGCTAAAAAACCAAAAAAAAAAAAAAAAATCGAAATTCTATACCAACAGTGCATATACAGGTTAGGTTTTTCCTAACCGCTTTTCGGGATCCTCAATAGTTAATCCGTTCGTTCGGCAAGGGTAGTCGGTAATAAAACTTAAAAAAGCGACTGCTCCAGTTCTAAAACAAAGGTGGTCGATAGGATTATTGATTGTTATGCAATGAAGTCAACGGAATGTGTAATAAAATGTTTGACCGTTGGCGACGGAAGGCAAAACACTCTGTCGGACTAACGTTTGTCGCGTTGGCGATCAGTTGACGACGAGCGAGCGAGGGGCGAGAAAGAGAACGAAAAGGCGAATGACTCGGTGGTGAAATCGTCTCCACTGCGGACGACGACGACGACGACGACGACGCCGCCGGACCGATACGCTCGACCGACACGGTAGCGCAGAGGCTTTCGTCGTCCGGATACAGGATACGGTACCGGCCTATATAAATCATTAAGGACCGCCGAAATGATCAATGAACCGCTATTGAAGATCCGTGTGTGCACGACGCGCACGCCTAACAGACATTTGGTCAACGTCTGCTGACAGGCGCCGCACGCACGTCTCCGGTGCCGCCCGGTTACATTTCCATAATATGATAATGCGCTGCGTTGTAATGCGTGCGAAACGGTGCATGAACGGAGGACACCGTTGATTTTTGATTTTTTCGCCTTAGTCAGCGGCCGCTGTCGTCGCGCTCGTGTCCGCGTACAGCCGAGGCCGAATAAACCAGTTTTTATTTCAGGGCTTAACGTCCCCCTTCCCTCCCGAAAATGTATTTTTGGTTACGAATCATTTTACTCCAACAGCATGCCGCATACCCTCCCACACCCTCGATTCGGAGGGTCTGACATGAACACCGTAGCAAACGGACGCCCGACGAGCATCTGTGAGCAAAGCGAACGCGTCGGACCGCTGATCACTGGCGCGGATCCGATCGGGAAAAACATTTATCCTTCCACACGTTTTCGGCGGATAAATTCGTTGGCGGTTTTCACGAACTCTTTCGTTTTACACCGAGAACGGTTTTTCTCGTACACGGTGCCCGGTTACGTATGCCCGCAACGGGTATTACTACTGGAAACGACACGTTTCCACAGTTTTCTCGCGCGCGCGTATCAGTACTGTTGCGGAACGGAGTACGATCTGTGGGGACAACGGTACAGCCCGTTGGACAACCGAAATACTTATCTTCATTCGTGAACGTCCCTGACAGCACCTGAGGTGGCGGTAAACGTGCTCTCGTCTTGCGCTCGATTCGCAACGGTCGTTGCAGTTCCAATATCGTACAACGGTTAGACGACGACATGTTTTTTTTTTCCAATCGTACTTCTACTTCACACAACTTCTCGTTGTCGGTATAAACGAGGGGTGGCCAACGCTTATGACGATACCAAAAACTATTTCGGGTTTCTCGTCGGATTATGAAGAACGTTGTACACATTAAAAACATTTATCAACTTAAATGTTATTATTTAGTTAAACGGAATGAAGGTCTAATTTAAGGAAACAACATTGCTCATGTATTTACTCATTTGCTCGATATGATTTTTGTTGTACACTCGATAAATCGTTTACACTCGGTTTAGAATTCGTAACTTTTAATGAAGTACGTGCGGTACTAATGCAGCAATCCATTGCTTGGCATCTCAATATAGATTTGATGAAATTGATTTCCGAAAATATTGGCTCACGTGAATTAGTTAAAGAAAAATTGATATAAAATAGCAAACGCCTATTTTTAAAGTGTTTCGTTGTGACCGTTTAAAACGTACTCATATGCAATTTAGTAAATATTTTTATTTTTCGCGCGTGCTATTTCGGACATGTATGCCATGGATTTACAATTCTTGGTATGTACCCCAAAACGTATACCTTTTCCGGTCGAATCTCGAAAGTTCCGGTCCGCCTACTTCTACTTTATCGCGTGCGGGTTTCTAATCGGGTGCAAAATAATATTTTTAAAAACGTGTCTATCCATAAGGAGTTATGTAATATACATGCAAGATTTTTTTTCTGCCGTTCTATGCGATTCTCTAACTCCGTTTTCAATGTTCTAACCGCATTCATACAGCAGGGACCGTGTACAGTCATTCTTTCCCTCTAGACGTATAATTTAGTTCTTTGCAAAGGATAACAAAAAAATATCTCTAAACGTTTCTCCCCAGTCGAAGAAAAAATAATACGAGGGGAAACATAGTTTTCCCTTAAAAGTCCTAAGTTATTGAAAAGAAGTTATTTCAAACTTTTTTTATAACGTAGTTATAACAGGTACAATATTGAAAATATATATAAAATAAAAGTCGTGAATTCAACTACCAAAACAAATAACAGTGTTACAACTTTGTTTTCTTGCTGAGAAATGTATATATGTGTATACTGTGTGGTTGGTTTATAAAATATTTCTAAAACGTCTTCTTTACATAAATAATAATCTAATATAAATACATCGTTTAAAAGCGTTTTAAACGAATGGGACAAATTACATACTCTGATAAAATCTTGTGTCATAGAGTTTTCAATTAATCGAAATAAAAACGAAAATAATATACGTTCTAAAGAGAACAAGAAAATAATAAAATCATAATGTTGTAATTTATATTTGTTAAAGTCTCGGTAAAAAAACCGACAGACTGTTTAAACCATTGTTATGTTCTGCACGTACTGTAACGTGGTCTAAGGTAATCAGTTAAATATAGGTTATTCAGGGAAGGTTTTCAAGTCGTTTTGAATACATTCAACCGTAGTTCGGGAGCATTAAGGAGGTGGATCTTAATATAACAAATAAATTTAGATTGGTTCAGGTAATCACGAAACTTTAATATAAAACTTACTGGCTATGGATGTCTAAAGAACAATAGGAGTTTGGCTACCTCGGATGGTCATTGTGGCCGATGTACCGTTTCCCGTTTCTTACATATACGACATTGGCCGTTTGCCTAACAATAGCGACGTATGTATGATAAATGTTCTAGCAAGAGCTTAGTGTCTACTCAGAAAATATACATATTATGTGCGTTGACTAATAATGATATAACAATTGTTACAGTACGTACACTTATTGTACAAAGATCCAAACTAAGAGTGCATGTATGGTTCCATAGCCTTTCCATGTCCCGCACTCACAAGGCTTAAAGCGACAAAAAAAAGAGTACGGGGGACTCTAATCCATACATCATTTTCAGCGTTTCATGTAGCTCTGTTCAATTACTAGTTCATTAATTATAAATAGGTATACGAGTATATATGTAACGAGGTGTTGTTAGTGAATAAACTTCCTCCCCTTATTATTCCTGTGTTGTAAAAATTTATAAACTTTTAAATTACTTATT